TTCCTCATTAGAGTTAGTAAAAGTTTGCAAGCTTATTGTTAAGTCCTATAAAAAAATTGAATGAAAATTAAAATAAGTAATTAGTTTTCCTATTATATTTCTTCATTGTCCATGTTGTGACAGTGACAGTCAATTCGTCATCATTGTTCATTTCCAAAACATCTTCCTAAACGAAAGAAAGTCCTTAGTAAGCATTAAGCAGAAGAGAGCCAAGAATATAGTCTTATACGATATTTCATGCTCAAGGCTGTTGGATTGTCATCATTTCTTCGCATTGCTCGAAAAGTAGAGAATGCTTGCTCCAGCAAGTCCTGGTTTAACTTTCTAGTTAAAATGTTAGAAAGTTAGAATTTTCTCCGTTTATCCTGGAACTATTCTCAAACCAGATGCTGTTCGATTCTTTTCCAAAATCCAAACACTCTTTGTGGTTATGTGGCTCTGTTTTATTTAAACCCAGAATCGATCCAATGGTTCCTAATTAGTTTAAGTCGCATCTCATTAAAACCTTGCCTAGTTCTATACATATACATATTATGTATATAGAACTAATTTAAAATTTAAATACAGTGTGCGGCAAAAAGGTTGCCCCATTTTCAAAGGGTCATTGTTCAGAAATAATTTATTTGGGATGTCAATAAAAATCAAACTAAGAGAAAAGCTTTTGATTTTCAGGAAACACATATTATTTCATATATTTCATGTTGAGGAGATCTGCAAATACCCCCCCCTAATAAACAATCCGTGGGTTATTACGATCCTAATTGTTTAAAATAAATGCATTCAAAAAGCCATGTAAATGAAACTAACATTTAAATTTAGCGCAACGGAAATGCCATTGATATAAGAAGTACCGTGCCATTGGTTAGAAAGACTCTCCTGATTAAGTGGGAAAAGGTAGGGGAAGAATGCGGGACGCAAGTGACGGGCAGGGGAGAACATTCATTCGAGCATGGGAGCAGAGCCGAGCAGCGACAAGGGTTTTTAAAAAGTGTGTGCAGGAAAGTGGTTAAAAATGTAAGTTTGTACGTTTTAAATTACTAAATTATTGTAGTATAAATATTCCCGTGCATTTTGGTATAATTAGTTTACACAAACACCTTGTGTAAAGATAAATATTCGATCAATTGACTTGGCGTCATCGTTCGATCTATTACGCTGTAATGGCTGCCGTTTAAAACAAACCACGCTGTAAAATTTACGTTTAAAACTAGGTATTTCGTATTTTAATTTATATTCTAAGATAAACAATTGGTACTTGTATTTTATCTAATAAAAGGCAGGGATTTTTAACGAGTATTTATCAAATTAAATGAGCAAGAATTTACGGGGATTTTATCCAATTAAAATAGGCAGGACCGTATTCGATTTAATTAAGCTAAATGTCAGGGCAGTACTTAAGATTATTAAATTAATTTTAATAAATATTTCAAAAGGGGGATTTAACATAAACGCTGTGTAAATTAAGTGTATTTAATATCGATTTTCTTAAATACGGGATTTATTAAATTGTACTCGCGGATTCACATTTATGTCCCGTAACTAGTAATTTTACCAGTCATATTAAATTATTTGGTATTACATTTGGAGTGAGTAGCAACAGTAATTGTACGATAGCGACATTTGATTTATCCCCACTGTCCGTGGAGTCCATGACACAACAAGCCCATTTTGAATTTCTATCCTGTAAATTTTAAGAGGTGTGTAAAGGTCTGTATTCATCTGAATGCGCAACGCAGAAATTGCCCTTTGTGATTTGGTCAATTTATTACCTAGTATTTTATGGTAATTATTAAGTTATTAAAGTTTGCCGACTAATGAGGTATAACGGGCGATTGCGGACCTTCAATTGGAATGACCTCGAAGCCGATTATTATTTACTCCTTTTCCAACAGTTTATTGAGCCTGAACTCTAATAAATATTACATGAAAAATTATGTAATGGTAAATTTAAATTCAACAGTAAATAAATATAAAAACTTTATTTGGATGATAAAGGCCTATTGCAGACGGAATGCTTGATGAATAAAGTTAAATTTAAAATACAAAAATAGAGACTAAGACTCAATCTACTTTCACCAAACAAACAAACAAACAAACAAATAAACAAACAAATCAGCAAAAAGCGAAGATAAAAATTAAAAATGAAAAACGAGAGCTAAGCTCTAGTATGATGTATTATTTATCTAATGTTATTTATATATTTATTTATATTTGGGTTGTAGTCGCAGTAAGGAGATATTGTGTGGTTTTAAACGGTTGTAGGAGGTCCTTTTCTTTCAGTTTTTTTTCTTAAGTTAAATGTCGTTTGGGTTGCGGTTATTTTTGTTGCTCTATCCAAATAAATATCATTATTGTTTGTTATAAATTGTAAATATTTTATACGTGAAACTCACTCCCATAATCCCTCATTTTGGAAGGTTTTATGAGCGATACTAATAAAAAATAAACGGGAGCCTTCCGGGTTTTTGACCTGAGTTCAAACGTAACTTATTGCCTTTTATTTACTGTATTTTTATTTCCCTTTTAAAATACTTTCCCTATGAATACAACACCTCACAAGTACCTTGGGTTACTAAATTAATGAGCTTTATTACCGTAAGTATTTATTTTATTTATTTGTCGAAATTTAATATAACATTTGCCGTGGTGTTATATTTCATTTATCACTTGGGGTGTAACTTTTTACAGATTCTTTGCTGGGGGAGGTGTGTACGCTTACAATGTTTTAAAAATAATGTCTTTTAAATGACCGCCGTTATTATCAATGCACATTTGAAGCCTATTACGACAGCTCGTCATTGCCCTGCGCGCCATGTCTTGCAGAATTACGTTGGGTTCTTGCCTTATTGCTGCCTTTAGACTTTCCAAATTTTGTGGACGATGTTAAAAAACTTGGGATTTTAGACACCCAAAAAAAAATTGCAAGAGGCGAATCAGGCGAACGCGGAGGCCACCCAATATCACCCCGTAAAGGGATAACTTTGCCCGGACATTTTATTTTAAAAAACCCTCACGTAATTAATGGACCTTTAAAAGATATAAAGCTTTTTCTTAGTTTGATTTTTATTGACATCATAAATATTTCTGACAGATTTATTAAGACGACTGAAAATGGCATGCACGTACCTACCTAAACCGACCATGCGCACTGCTCTATCCCCCCACGAGTCAAGCAATGAACCTTTAAAAACGGGGCAACCTTTATAACGCACCCTGTATTATATTCTTATTTAAACAGGGTGTTCGGTTTTCCCAGAATTGATAACAACTTTTTTATTTTTAATGGAACACCCTGTTTTTTGCATTTTCGGATTGTACAAACTTTTTTAGGTATACTTTTTAAATGCAAAAATTGAAAATACTCGGCGGGCAGCACTACAGCCAGGGAACCGGATAAGGTTGAAAAACCAAAATCTGGGGCCCAAAGGCGGAGGGCTAAACGCCAGACCACGCTAGGACCACCCCGAAAGTAGCAGATGGTGCACACCTGAAGGCTGGGACGCAAATGCGATACCGGTCAGACGGGAGCACACTACAGCAGACAAACAAGAGGCCCAGGAACCCTGAAACAGAGAAACAAATGGCGAGTTACCGCGATGCTGCAGTGGGGACCAAAATGTAAACTGGTTAAACAGTGGCATGTATCGAATGAAATTAGTCTGCCAGACAACAGATACATACGGTTTAACCTTGAATCGACTATTAACACCCAACAGGAGTACATAAACTAAAGAAAAACGAACTGGAATCTATATAAAGAGGTACTAGAACGTAACCTGGAGAGCTGCTTAAAAGAGGCGAAAGATACCTTTGATCTTAAACTACTCACCGACTATGTGACAGATTCCATTGTAATGTAACCTTTAATGGTACATGAAATTTGGACACTGAAAAAAATAAGAAAAGTTGGGACCAATTATCTTTATTGAAAAATAGTGAAGAAAAAAACAATTTAAAATTATACCAGTTTTCCTAGTCTAGGCTCGAGATTTCGTCTGGAGGCAATGGTGAAATTGTACACCAAAAGTTACTTTCTAAGGTAAGTGATCCATCTTTTATATCCAAAATTGCGGCCGGACTTTCGGCGTAATATATACGCATGTAGTATGCCTATCCGCAGGCGATGACTCCAAAAAATTGCGTTTCAGCTTTTACAAATAGGTACTGGAATTTGCCCCTTTGACAGAAATATTTATGGAGATGAAGATTTCTTAGCTGCTTCTGTCATTGATGTGCCTCAACCTCAACAAGAAAACGATCCTGAGATTTTTAAGTTTTTTTTTCATGTTTGAAATATGTTTTTATTTTTTCACAATAAACTTTACTTATATTCAGCTAGTAGTTTTAGAAAATATATTTTAATGTTGTCTTGTTTCAGTGGCCATCGTTCATCCCTAGAGATGCCGGTGAATAAGACCAGCATGCAACAGTGGCCACTTTTTTAACAAAAAAATGAAATTGTTTTTCTCGGCATTAACCCATAATTGAGCATTTTTACTTATGTCATTTCTTAGCTTATATCATGGAGTGACTATGGGTCTAAAAAACGTCAAGTCGTTCTACTAATTAAAAATAATTATAAAAAAGTGGCCACTGTTGCAAGCCCTCCCGTATACCTACCTACTGGATTACTGTCCTGCGCTTCAAAGGTTACTTACTAGTTTCTTTTTTCAGTGTCGCACTATAATTCAGTGAACAAAAAATCTTATATGTATAATATAGGTACATTGTCAATGTATGTTTAATTAATAATGTATGATTTAATTTTATTATTAATTATTAATAAAGAGAGATATGCCTTGTACATTTTTTTTCAATATAAAAAGGGTACATTGTTATTGCAAGGGAGGCCTTAAATATTTGGTTATTAAACAACGAAAAGTTTAATGTATTATTTCATTTGGAGTCTTTACAGTCTACTATTAAATAAAATTTGCATCTCATTACCAAACTAAAAAAGTAGTCCATTCATTATTCGCTGCATTCAGACAGGCTATTTCTCATACACCACCGAACAGTATACATTTGGCAGATTCGTTCCATTTCTGGTTTTGTTTCGATTCAAAGTTTTCACCGACCGGAGCTCTGACCCGTAACAATGTTACTAAGAACAGATGCGAGTAATTTCCGTTAGGCTACGAAAGAAGTATATAGTGGAGCATTTAAAAAAATTGACTAGGATTTATTGTTACAAAAATTAGAAGTCATTAGTTTGCTTAAGCGTAAGCAAAATGTTTTTACAAGATTTTTTATTAAGTACTAGATTTTTTATTAAGTGCTAGAAAAACTCTAATAAAATGGATTTGTTGAGAAATTATTTTTATTAAAAAATTTTAATAAAAGCAATTTCTCAACAATTTTGTTTGCATGCATTGGTTTTGGGCAATTATCAATCAAGTACACATTTATGGTAAAGTATGAATAGTTTTAAATTTGGCACAAGTGAAGTTTGCGAGCGAGTGTTTAATAAAAGCGATGTTAAGACATATACAGGGTGTCCCAAAAATAGTGTGCGACAATCTACACGTGGTTTCTAAAGACAAAAATCTTATTATAAACATAGTTCGGCAAATGGCCCCTAAGGGAGCTGCAAACTCTTAAAGGGGTGCCCCTGAAGATATTTTTTATTATTATTTCCGAAACAGTTTGTGATAGAATAATAAAATTTTGTATGCTTACTTTAAATTTTATGCTTATTTTAAAAATAACAACAAAATTTAAAACTTTTATTTATTAGTGTTTAAGGGCGGCCTAGGGTAATTTTATCACCAAATATTGTCTTTGTCTCAAGTTGGCTGCAGAAATCTTTATATAAAACATTAAAAGTTTTTTAAGTAAAAAAGGTACTCTTGTTGAACTTTGAAAAAATACATCATTTTTGAATAAAAAATAAAATAACAGATTTAAAAAAAAAATGTTTTTAGTTCTTGTTCAATATTTAACAGGAAATATTAATAAAAAAATGCATATAGTTCCCAAAAATACATTATTTTATCTCAAACGGTTTCAGAAATAATAACAATAAATATCTTTAGGGGCGCTACTTTAGGGGCTCTGTAGGTCCCTTAGTGGCCATTTGCCGACCTATGTTCATATAAAGTTTTCTTCCTATTTTTGGCCCTAAAAACTGCTTGTAGATTATTGCACAAAATTTTTGAGACACCCTGTATATAAGAGTTCCATACTAAACTTTATTTAACCAAAACGTCAAAGTTTGTAAAGGTGGGAGTAGATAGTTATTTATTACTTTTATAAGGCCATACCACGCAAAAGAAGAAGTTATTTCAGGTTTACAGTAAATCACACATTTAGGGTGAGGGGGGTAAAGACTTTGTGACATCTTGTGCTAAATAGATCCTATATGCGTGACATGGGGTCGAGGGGGTCGTCTAAAAAGTCAATCAAAATTTGTTTTATATTTTGTATAAATAAATAGTTTTAGAATAATTAAAACTGCTAATGATAAATCTTCGTTAGGTCTTCTATTCTATTCTGTTTCTTTTCCTTTTTTTTCTTATTTTATAAAAAATTAGTAAATAATATATTATCTGGTCTGCTAAAAATGGCACACTTTACTTACCATCTATTACAGTGTGTCATAACAATCTAAAGTATATAAACTGCTCGTCATAAAAATCGACGCACCTAGTTTTTTGGAAAATATTTGAAAGCTCGTTATTGGAAAATTGCTGAATCGATTTTGAAAATCTTCGGAAATTGTGAATAGCTGATTCTTTGACTCTTATGCATAATTTTGAGAATACGATATTTTGCAAATAGCATTATACTACAGGGTGTTAAAGGAAGAGATGTATTTTTTCCGCAATTTCGAGTTATTCCCATTCATGAGGCAGTTGAGTTTGATAGTCGTAATAACCCTCCCTAATATAAGTAAGGTAATCCCTCGAAACGTTTTCGAGATTTTATGAATATCGCGGCTTACTACGATTATATGCCAATTTTTCGAAAATTGTCGTTATTTCCCAGTTAAGTCCAAAAAATGAGCAATAGTGGATTATTTTACTTACGTCTAATTTTGAGAATACGATATTGTGCACATAGCATTATACTACAGGGTGTTAAAAAAAGGGATGTTTTTTTTTTCAAAATTTCAAATCCCCATTCACAGGGCAGTTGAGCTTGATAGTAGTAATACCCCTTCCTTGAAAAAAGTGGTAGTAATAAAGAAATGTGGGAAACTATAAACAAGCTAAAAAATTATAAATTGAAGACGAACAAAATAACGGAAATAAAATATAACGATATCATATACACTGAGGAAAAAGAAATGTGTAACATTTTTAACAAACATTACATTGAGATAGGTGACAAATTGGCAAAATAATTAAAATAAACAATAACTATAAGGACAATAAATTAAAATTAGAAAATTCCTTAGTTTTAATGCAGACCAACCCTACATAAATTAAGTCTATTATAATAAAATTAAAAAATAAAAAATCAGTAGGGATCGACGGCATACAAATATGTACAATAAAAAATATAGTAAATAGCATAGCCAGTCCCCTCTCAACATTAATAAACAAAATATTCCAAACGGGAATATGCCCAAGTCTCTTCAAGACGTCAATAGTCGTACCAATTTTTAAAAAGGGAGATAAGCAGGACCCAGTGAACTATAGACCGATATCACTTATCACAAACTTTTCTAAAATCTTTGTTTTATAAATAAATACAACATAATATCCAGACAGCAATATGTATTTCAAAAAGGGAAGTCAACCCAAGATGCAATAATCAACCTAGTTGAAAATATCTACAAAGCAGTTGACGAGGGAACACCGGCTATCTGTATGTTTCTGGATCTTGCAAAGGCCTTTGACACTGTTTGTCACCATAAATTAATCTAAATACTCTCCGATTTGGGTATACGTGGCCCACTCCTTAAGCTTTTCACCAATTACCTTGAAAATAGAAAACAATTTGTAAAAATTGACAAGAACATGAGCGATCCACTTACGCCTAAGTACGGTGTCCCACAGGGCACAATATTGGGCCCACTCTTATTTATATTGTATATAAATAATCTGTTTAAGGTTGAAACTAAGGGGCGGGTCTTAAGTTTTGCTGATGATACCACAGTACTTTACACAACCAAAAATTGGATAGAACTAAAATCATTAATAGAGAAGCCTTTTGTTAATATAAAAGAATGGTTTGATCAAAACACTTTAACATTAAATATTGAAAAGACTATGTTTATGCCTTTCGGTTGTAACAAAAGCAGTCTACCTACCTTCAACACATTAAACTTCAAACAGGAATCTTTAAACTCGTCGGTAAACAAAACATCATCAACCAAATTTCTGGGTTTAATCATAGACTCACATCTAAAAATTCGCTGCTTTATCCCATATTTTTAAACCCTAAGAAATATGCTAAGTATAAAGCAGCTAAACATTGTATACAGCGCTTTGGTGGAGTCTCACCTAAGGTATGGTATTATGGGTTGGGGAGGTGCCTATACCAATACTCTTGATGTAACACAGAAAAGAATACTAAAAATAATGCACAATAAAACGAATATTTATCCCTCAAATGAATTATACAAACTATCAAATAGAATGGACTGTAGAATGCTCTTCTTCATATCACTTGCCATACACATGTTTTCTAAAAAATCAGAAAGTAAAATTACATGCGAAGCAGTCGATTTCTTGGGCCAAAAATTTACAACCAACTGCCACTTGAAATAAAACGTACTAAATCAATATACGTTTTTAAAAGATTATGTCGTAATTACACCCTAGAAATACCTAGAGAAAATATTTATAATTGTTATTTATTAATTTTGTCATGCACGCTCAAATGCAACAGCATTTATGTGCTACTAGCATATTTTTTGCAATATTATTTTATTTTATAATTTTTTATATATTTTTTTGTAAACATTCTCTTAAAGCAATAAATATTATTATTATTATTATTATATTAATAACATTTAGGTTATCCCTCGGGACGTTTTCGGAATTTTGTGGATATCTTGGCAAACTACGATTATATGGCAATTTTTCGAAAATTCACGTTATTCTTTATTTTAGTCCAAAAAATAGGCAATAGTTGATTCTTTGACTCTTATGTCTAATTTTGGAAATACGTTATTGTGCACATAGCGTGATACTACAGGGTGTTAAAAAAAGAGATGTTTTTTTCCAAAATTCCAAATCCCCATTCACAGGTCAGTTGAGCTTAATAGTCCTAATACTCCTCCCTAATAACAGTTAGGTAATCCCTCGGGACATTTTCGAGATTTTACGAATATCTTGGATAACCACGATTGTACGGGAATTTTTCGAAAATTCACGTTATTCTTCATTTTAGTCCAAAAAATCAGCAATATTTGATTTTTTTACTCTTATGTCTAATTTTGGGAATACAATATTGTCCACATAGCATGATACTACAGGGTGTTAAAAAAAGAGATGTTTTTTTCCAAAATTCTAAATCTCCATTTGCAGGGCAGTTGAGCTTGATAGTCCTAATAACAGTTAGGTAATCCCTCGGGAAGTTTTCGAGATTTTGTGGATATCTTGACTAACTACGATTATATACCAATTTTTCGAAAATTGTATATATTCCCCAGTTGTCCAAAAAATGAGCAATAGTGGATTCTTTGACTTACGTCTAATTTTGGGAATACGATATTGTGCACATAGCATTATACTACAGGGTGTTAAAAAAAGAGATGTTTTTTCCAAAATTCCAAATCATCATTCACATAATTGGATTTGTCAAAATTTGATTTATTTAATTGTAGCAGAGATATATGTATTCATACCTATATAATGTTTGTTTTTTATTTAACTGAGGTATTTTGTTTTTATTTTTGTGATAGAAAAAACTTTGACTAAACTGCTCGTCATAAAAAACGACGCACCTAGTTTTTTGGAAAATATTTGAAAGCTCGTTATTGAAAAATTACTGAATCGATTTTGAAAATCTTTGGAAATACAGGCAGTCAATTACTTATAATCTAATATTAAAGTTAGTTTTTGTCCCAGATTTTTATTGGTACATTGGAGTGTTGTGGAATATTTTCCGGTGTTTCCGAAATACTGTTTCGTGCTTTTCTTTGGACAAAAGATTGTTTTATTGTTTGATTTTGTATGAAAAACAGACAAATAATACGACTTTTGATGCACTTTTTTCAGTTTGCGGTAAGTATTAAAAATACAAACAAAACATAGATCATTTATATTTTACTTGAGTAAAATGTATATAAGGGTATGTTCGTATTATTCAAAATATATAAAATATAAAGTATATAAAAACACTTTCATTCACAATTCTATTCTACTATCTACGTTTTTATAGTTTTGCATACGAATTTATAATTTCTCAGACTTGGGTAAAATGTAGGTAGGTATATAAGGTTATGTTGGTATTATTTAAAATATACAGGGTGATTCAAACTTGTGGTTACAAAAGCTAAGGGGAAATTCCTCTCATCAAAATATGAAAAAAAATTCCTATAAACACGTGTCCGAAAATGCTTTATTTATTAAATAATAAATGATTCAAAGATAATAAAAAATCACGTAAAGTTACTCTAGCTTAAAAATTAACCATAAGTTTTAATTTCCCAAGTGTCAACATTTTTAGAAATATTGAGGGCCCCCCCCCCAAATGTCGGCCCCAGGGCCTCAAAACTCTTTATCCGGGCCTGGTACATGCACTTGTACATTTCTTGCAAAAAACGATTTACCACATTTTAACATTTGTGTAAGGAAACATTTCATATACATAAAATTAAATTGGTAAATCGTTATATTTATATTTTTATCGAGAAAGTATTCATTTGTTACCTTTTCCATGCTGGCCCCTCCATAATCGTCTGGACTGGCTATCGTGTTACAGCCAGCCCTTCTTAGCCGAAGCTTGTTGACGTGGAAAGCCGATCCGTAACAGTACATGAGGATCATAGTGGTGGGAAAATAAAAGCCGCAGGCGGCCAGAATGCGAATTGAGGCTCGGGGGTAGAACGGCTCGCAGGCTATCATACCCGTAAGGTTGAAGTAAAAACCTCCTCGCGGCAGCACCAGAATGGCGAACAACGTCACCGACATTATCCATGTCATACTGATTATGGCAACACAGCCCTATAACAAAAAGAAACAATCAAAATTGTGCTTGCATGGTCTTTTGTTTTAATATTTTAATTTTCAATGGCGTTACATTAACACCGATTTTACATTGAAAAGTTAAGAACGTTTTTAAATAAAATGATAAAAATGAATTATTCAAAAATTATATAACTGTAATAGCGAAAAGCAGCCACTAATAATACTCGTCAACAGTAATTTGGATCCCGGATATTTAGCAGTTAATTCCTAAGTAAAATTGTCCGCTGAATCCGAAAATGTCCTTAAAAGTTATAAAAGTAGAACAAATTTCAAGATATAGTCAATTTTCTTCATAATATGGAATTGACTATATCTCAAAAACTGCTCTACTTTCATAGGACGGTCTTTTCGAATTCAGGTGACAATTTTATATAAGAATTGGCTGTTAAATGTCCGGGATACAAATTGATTTGGACTAGAGTTATTAGTGCTTTATCACTTTGAAAACTAGTCATTTGTGACTAATTAATTTTTGGAGGGAAACAATGTTTAAGCCTAAAATTATATAAGTATGCGTTTTTTCACAATATATATTTCAATGTATAATATAATATTTATAAACTAATGGTAAAATTAAATACTCTATGTATAAAGAAAATTTAAATTAGAGCTAACACTCAACCAAATCAATAAAAAAAATCCAAAATTTAATACTAACTAAATTTTAAAATTGTACCATTAAGTACACGATGCTTTGTACGATGTTGAATTGAAAAGTTGGAGAATTACTTACTGGTCCCCTTCATCACAAGCCTGCATTAATTGTGGGGCAACACCCAAACAAATGAACAACTTGGGCATAATTGAATACAAATATGTGAGGAAAGATTACTTTAAGTATGGATTAAGGTTTGGATTAAGTGGTGAGCCCCTTATACCAAATGCATACATTTTCTGAATTAAAAATTCATGATTAACCATGTCAAAGGCACGAGTTTAATCAAAATAAATACAAGCAACTTTATAACCTTATTCTAAATTGAGTAATAAAAAGTTCATAAGTAACATTTCCCTGACAATATGACGACTATCAGAAGACACCCAGGAAGCACAATTGGATTATGGAGCTTTAAATTTATTATTGTTAGAAACTGTAAATTTGTAAATATACACTGAAAGAAATATATGTTTGTTTTAGCAATGTTTTGTGGTTCATATATGGACTACCACATACATTGCTAAAACAAACATATATTATATTTAGTTTTAACATAATATGTTAAAACTAAATATAAAAATGGTTAAGGTAAATATATTATATGTTTGTTTTAGCAATGTATGTGGTAGTCCATATATGAAACATAAATTTCTTTCAGTGTATAATATATAAAAATATGTAACTGTAAATTTGTAATGTTATTTAATTTTAGTTTAGGTACAAGTTAGTATAAGTATAAGTACATTGGTGTAGTAAAATTGTAATTTTTAAATTTTAATTCTAGTTTTATAACGAGTTTTTATTATACATTTACAAATTAATAAACCATTTTTTATATTTATAAATATTATGTGCCTAAATTATATTAAGTAAAGTCTCTTTAATAATAAAATAAATGTAAAAAATTAATAAGTAATGGAAAGTGTAAGAAAAAATAGCTATTTTAAGTTTTATTAAAATGAAAATACGTTTTTGTAGTTTTTGCAGCAGATTTATTTCTGAGAAAATTAAAAAATATCTTAATCTTAATTAATAAATTCACAAAATATTTTGTAATAAAATAGTGTCACCATAAAAATAATTTTTTTAAAATGTAGAGATTTATTTATAAGAGAAAATAAAGTATACAAGCATATTAAGGCGGGGCGAAATGTGTATGATAAAAATAAATATTTTGGTGAAAAAAAAATAATTTTTAATTCCTACCACCGCCTCAGAGCTATCCTAAATATAAAAATTGTAAAATTCAGACGAGGGTAAAAAACGGTTATAATTTTTTTTTTGAGCAAAGATTTTTTTAGAGCATTTGATTTTCAAAAATAAACAAGCTAAATGTTGGCCCCAGATCAATTTTAAAAATACAATTTTTTTCATATTTGACATTCCCCATTTTCTTTTAATTTCTAATTAATGTTATTAGTTACTTATGCTCAAAATAACCAAATTGGCTAAAAAAAAATTATATTTATTACTACCGTTTTTTGCTCCAGCTGAAACATTATAATTTTTATGTTTGCCATGGCTCTGAGGCAGTGGAAAGAATTTAAAAATCAAAATGTTTATTTTGAACATTTGTAACTTTTTCAAAACTGAATAGGTACTTTGATTTAAAAAAAAAAAGAAACGACATCGGAGGATCCCCGCTTTATCTGAAATATGAAAATATTTATATTTTTTAAGTTGGCCGGGGGCCCCATTTAGCTTATTTTTTTTTAAGTCTACTTACTTTATTTTGTAAAAGTTAATTATGCTAAAAGTAACAACTTGGTTCAAAACATTTTTTTTAACTGTTTTCCACCTTAGTCTGAATATTATACTTTTTATATTTAAAATAGATGGCTTTGGAGCGGTGAAAGAAAATTTAAAAAAATTAAAAAAAAAAATACAAAAAATATTTATTTTTACCAGTATTCTATATACAGGCCTTTTCAAATTTACAAAATACTTATATTTCGCACCACCCTATTACATATATTTGTTTTGTTTAAATTTTTGTAAAGCATATTTATTTCTGAGAAAATAAAAAAAAAATTTGGAGCTTTATCCCAATTAATAAGGTCACAAATTATTTTTACTAAAAGTGTAACCATAAAAATGCAATTTTTTAAGTTTAGTGCTTTATAAAAGAAAATAAGGTATGAATAAATTTATTTTGTTCCACTGTAAAGCCTATTTTTTCTGAGAAAATTAAAGAACAATTATAGCTTTATCTCAATTAATAAGATGACAAATTATTATTTAAAATTATTTTTTACCCAAAAAGTAGGTTTCTAGACCACCGTCCCTGTTGCAAAAAGCCCTGGCTTAATTAGTTTTTGATATATGAAAAAATTAAGTAGAGAGCTATTAATATCTTATGGAGGATGACCTTGGGTGTGCAAAAGTCTACTATAGTATGTTTTTAGGTCGGAGAGTAATAGCGCGATTTAACGGATTTGAGACTTTTGCGCACCCAAGGTCATCCGCCATGAGATATTAATAGCACTCTACTTAATTTTTTCATGTTTACATAGGGTAAACAATGCTGATATTTATTGACATATTTAGAAAAATTTCTGAGCTAGAAATTATATTATATTTGTTATAATATTATAGCGTCTCTCAAGGTCAACCGCAATGAGATATTAATATCACTCTAGCCAGAACAATTCTGTTTAACATTGCGAAGAGCGGAAAAATATAGGCAAAAAACAAGTGAAAAAAAGTGATTTTTAAAAATGGACAGTTTGTCTCTAAGGTAGATTTTCATTAAGAGATATAATGGTCCGCAGTTATTCGCGCACTTCCGATTCTCACATATGTTACGCGACGCGACACTTTAAAATGTAGCTGATGAAAGATTTCCATGCATTTAAATGAGACAAGTCTCACATAGCGACGCGACGCGCCAGCAACGCGACTCGACAAAATTTTGTCGCTTCCTGGAGCGACAATAGGGCGCGATTTTGAAGCATCGCGTCGGGTAGCGCCGCGTAGCGTCGCGTCGCTATGTGAGAATCGACCTTAAAGTAATAAAACCAACTTATTTTTGTGTGTTTTGTCCAATACCAATATCGCTATAACAATATATTTTCAGATGTTATCATTTAATTAATTAAATAATTAAATGTAAATTATTGTTTAGTTTGTCAAAAAAAAACGAACATTTAGTCCCAGGAGCATATTCAGTATAATAATAAATAAATTAAACCTATTAATATTATGTTGTTTGTTACACAATTACTCATTAAAAGTTATACCTATTTTGATTTATACTAATTAGTAGTACCTACCTTAAGCTGGAAAACATTAATAATTATACAGGTTGACTTTGTTGATTGTTATGCATTAAATAATGTTTAGTTTACATTGTATATGTACATTGTATGTGTAAATTAAAGTTAATTAAAACATGTAAAGTTTACCTACATAGCAATTGAAAATTTTATAGAAAGTAAGAAAACGATACTAGGTATAAATAAACCTAAAATCTATTTTGGGCAAACATGTTTATTTTGCAAAATAAATTTTTTAGGGTATCATTTTTTGCATTTACAAACTTTTTATAATTAAATAAATAATTTATGTATTTCTCCCACCTTTAAAACCTTCATTATAGTACATATTTCCATGGCAGGTGAACTTTTAAATACACTTTAACAAGTTGTGACTTTATGGTCTTTTAGTCACGGGCTGAAATTAGCTTTAAGTTAGTTGACAGTTGTCAAATGTCATACAATCGTTAAAATAAAGGGCCAATCTTGTAAAATAATACTAAATGTAAACATTATTTTATTATATTAATAAAAAAATATAAAAGTATTACCTAAATAGTTTCTCCAAGCCAATAGTTTATATGAAAATTGTACTGACCTATAGATTTCTCCGGCAGTAAACTAGATTTAACTTAATTGTGAGTGCCAATAAAACATTTTCTTTACTTTCACTTTGAAAAACGCCTTATATATCGAATGAAACGGTCCATTTTTAAGGCATACATTTCGATTTACTCATAAAAATTTGACATTATCACCGGCGCGCGGTAATACAGATTCCCAAGTTGTCTATTGTTTTATAGTGGCTCTATATAAATATTTAATTTGAATCATTTTAATTTTTGGGTTATAAAATAACCTTAAATCAACCTTCAAATTGACATTTGACAGCTCTGATAGAATAATGTTTATTTTTTACAAAAGAGGAGTAAAATGATTGTTTTTACCACTTTGAGGTCTCTTTTAAGGCTTGCAAGTCTCTCTGTAAGAAACACAACGTTTAAAACGATTATTAAACTGTACAAATTAAT